AGGAGACGCACCTCCTTGTTCATCCATGGCTTCTGATTTGGGTACGTGGTGATCTGCTTCCATGTTGTAACACTGTCGATGGTGGTATTGATATAATCCAGCACAGAAGAAGTGTAGGTGTCAATGTCTGTGTGAGAGCCCAAGGTAGCCTGAGAAGCAAACATACTCCAGTCTTCAAATGGGTTAAACAGCATATTGTCTATGTCTAAGTGTTTTGAGTCATGACTGTCCATCAGGTAGGAGGCAAATTCATCATCAAGTATAGAGAAAGGAAATAGACTTACACATTCTTTACAAATCCAATATGCCCATATGCCAGATGGCTTTTTAGATACTGGTGTAAATCTAATATGAGACCCATTTTTACATAGTGTGCAGAAGATGCTCAGAATCATACTTTTTTGACACTGCCAACACTGATCTTGTTTAGTCATATTATGAAAGGAGTAAACATAGTACAGCAACATGGATTCCTTATGTCATTACCTCATTTCTTCTTGGCTTATGTGAAGGTGGATGCACGATGAGCTTGTCATATCGTAGGTAAGCTATATCACCTCTCTCTTGTGCAGCTTTCATCTCTGGCAAAAGTTCTCTCCACTTCTGCCGAACTGTTTCAGAGAAGTCCTCATTTATATAGACATTCGACCCCTTCAGGGTTTTTGCTTTAGCCAGAATGGAGAGTTTGTCCTTATGCCTTAGAAGCTTCACTGTAATTGGACGGGGTTTGTTGCCCATTGGAGCAGGTTTACCTGAACGATGAGCATGTTCAATTTCAATCTGACAGTGATCTAATTTCATCTTCTCTGAAAGAAGGCTCCTAATTTTTTCTTCTGTCTCCGACACAGCACTATTACTTTTTTTACCCCAGCAGATGGAGCAAAAAGGATGTGAGTACAAGATACGATCTGTGGGTCGCTATAATACGGGGAATATCATACATTTTTAATACAGTGCCTGTGACGTCAACAGCGCCTTTTTGAAAAGTTGAAAGAATTTCAACTTGAGCGTATGGACGTGCAGCACTTTTCTTCTTGGTGCACAAGCGCTTCATGCAGACACTTCTGAGCGTACAGCCAGCGGTTTTCTGCCCGGAAATACTCACTAGAATGTGTGTGAATTGAATTTCGCCTCAGTCTGGTAGTAGCTCGCTTGGTAGGCAGTGTTCTCCAGATTAGTGGGAGTGGGCTGCAGTGCTGAGTCTGGGAGTTGTTGTCTTTCATCCACATGAGCCAAAAAGACACTTTCTGCCTTTTCTCAGTCAAGAAGGCATCAACTTCAAAATGTATTTCACATTTCTACGTATATGACCCAATGTCAATACAGATTCATGTTTCAACCGGTGAAGTATCCCTTCAAATAAAGTTTTAAAAATGTTATGTTATGACCATGAAATCGTTTTCTTAAAACAACTTACATCACACATAATCCTCTGCAAAGAAGCATGGAAGGCCAAGTAGGGCATCTGTAAGTCTGTTTTGGTTTGAATCCTACAAAGGTGGGGGGGAAAATCAGGTCAATATTACCAGCGGTTGAAATTTTTTTTTAAACCTTTACTTGAAAGTACAAATACATACTGAAATATCATCCACTGCATTACATTATGTTTGGTGTCACTGTCCAGTGAAAAACCATGTCCCTCGAAAATCCTCTTTTCATGAGCTCTCAAACCAGGTCTTATTTTAGCTGTGTGATAATTTTTCCAGTAATTTCAAAACAATTTAAAGAAAAAAGTCATTTCAGACTGAAGGATGAGTCATCAGTAGGCATGTAAAGATCACACACGCACGCAATAATAAAAAGTCTGTAAGAACCATCAGAAAAAACAGTCGTCTGCTTAGTTGACTTTGGACTTTTCTGGGCATGTCTCTCTCTCTGCCGTTACTCAGGGGATGCGTTGAGACCATGCTGCATTCAGGGGTGCTCAGACAACGAGAGATACATTCAGGTGCACTCAGAAACGGAAGTTGCAGTAACAAAAACTAAGCTGGACAGACCGTTACAAGTTCAAATAATTGTTCAGTTGTTATATTGACTGCTGTCATTAAAAGAAACACATGAACACCATGATTCCTGTGTCTGTGGTGTTATCCAACTGACACCCCCCCCCCTCCTCAGAGCTCTAAACCTAGGGGAAACACTGTAAAATAAATTGTGAAACAATCGTATCGTGAACCCAGTATCGGGAATCGTATTGACAGTTGAGTGAATCGTTACATCCCTAGTCATCAGGCATGTAAAATGTTTTACAGGAAGAGAACTTTTTTGATTATTTAGATGCAAAATACTCAGATAATGCTTTATTGAAATATATTTGGCAAATAAATGAACATTTAACACAAGAACGCCGGATTAAAACCGGGAAAATGTATTTTTGATTTCATGGGGACTTTAATGTTTATCTCTACACAGTGCTTACCTCTTTCCCAAGACACTGCAGAATTCTTCTCAGGATTAACCTCTTGTTGGATGTGACACCTGACTGGTACAACTCTATAAGGTTTGGTAACAAGGCATCTAGTCCACCAAAGAAAGACTCCATCAGGTCTGTGGTGACAATCCTCCTGAACTCTGAATTTAGCTGAAACATATGGATAAAAGAGAAAAAAGGAGTTCAGTGACCTAAAAGAGCAGCATAAAGCTATATGCAGGGCCTGAAATTAAATTTTATAAATCTTTATAATGCTGTAATAGTCTTTGTTGTCCACTGAAAGAAAATGCACAAAACATTTCCACCTCATCAACTGTTTACCACTCATGCGCGCGCAGCACAAAGGGGAAAATACAACTTTCAAGTCATTATTTAAAATTAAAATACATTATTTTTTACTCACTGGTCAATAAAAATTATGAAGTTTAATATGATTCCCCGTTCATATCCACCTTGTAGCGAGTTGGCCATGAAACTTGAGTTTAAGCAGCACGGCAAATAAGCTAGCACTCGGCCACGAAGGAAGGAGCATTAGCTAATAACACAACGTTGCATTTTGCCTTTCCGGACATTAACTACCTACAACAAATTAATTGATCCTACAACTGATAACAACAACAAAAACAATAAAATGACTTATTAATAATGATAATATATTAAACTTACATCCAAGTCCGAATGCTGTCGGTTCACCGAAGACGTTCTCTCTCCCTACGGCTGCTTCACAGGACCGTTGAATTACTCCGCCTCCGTTCAAGCTATGTTATCAGGCGCACGGACTTCCTCCGCCGCAGGAAAGAGTCCTCTATTGTTGTCCAAATTTAGGTTGAAATTCGAATGAAGAGCAGATATACACTATACAATGTGTACTTTTGCCTATTTCTTACCATGGTTTAAAGAACAGTGATTCTGTCAAAGTCCTGGCTGTAATGAAGATAATAAAACTAAACTCAGTTGGGACACTAGTCTGTTGCTTTCCACTGGATTCACTCAGGTGTGTCGGCCAGAACACCACTTCAGGCCTTATTCCAGAATATGAATAACAAGAGGGCAGATTTGGTTGAATGGCTGTTTACTTCTTCCTCATAGTGAAACAAAATACAGGCATCTCAGTGGCCATTCAATATGACAGAGTATTGGGTCTTGTTGTGGTTTTCTATAAGAAAAAGAATAGCAGAATATATACTTAAGGAACACATCTGAATGCTTCATCTTACCTCTATAATAACATACAAAACACTACACAGTAATGTAATAGGTTATAATATGTATAAAAAACATAAATATATTACATATAATATAAAACATAAATACATTGTTGATTTCACAATGAACAGAATGCAAAAACAGAATGGATCAATACTCATGAAATGAATATAGACTGTGTGTAGTATAAATCACTCTGTAGGCCTTTTTTTATCAACACTGCCATCAAGTGGTGATAAAGACATAAAGTGAGACGATCATAAGATGAATACTATGGAAGTGATTAGTGATCAGAATTCAAATGATAACATGTAATCATTTAAATAAAAATGCACATTCTTTGACTAAATTAAAATGAAAAAGAAAAATACATTTGCTTTTTCAATTTAAAAAAATTGCATTTTTGAAGTTGAAAACTAAAATTCTATTTAGATAAATTAGTCATAATTTTATTTTTGAGTCAAATAATACTCCCATATTCTGAAAATTAAAAAACATTTCTGTTGATGGATTTTAATTTTCAAATTAGCTTTATCATTTGAATTCTGATCACTAATCGCTTCCATACAATACTATCTACATTCTGTAAACATGTTTAAGACACAAACCTTACAAACCTAAAGAAATTAAAAATACATTCAAATATAAATTGTTTGTAAATGAGAGACACAACGAAAGCATACTGCTCCTGTTTCTTTAACAGCCCGCACAACCTTCAAAAAAAGATTTGGCATCGTGACTAAACTGTCAAAGCCCAGTTTCCGGTTTGATTTCAAACTAAAAGCACAGAGGCTAAATACAAAGAGCAGGTGAGTGAAAAAAATAAATAAATAAATAAGACAAAACCTATTTAATTTTTGTTTTTAGTTAAAACGGACTGTCTTCTATTGATAACATCTGTACACCGAAGCTGGGAAACACACCTTTTCAGGTGGGCACCTGAGAGCAGATGAACAAACAGTGTGTCTGCATATAAAACCAATAGTTAACATTGCTCCGTCCACATATTAAGAGATATTTGAAGTTTGAAAAAGTAGCCTAACTTAAGCCATGTAGCCTCGCATGTAGGCGTCGTGACTACACAATGGTCGAGCTTCTACCTTATTGTGAAGGTCGGAGACCGGAAGCTCAGGTGTTAACACCTGGACGAGATACTTTCGTTTAGAACCTTGCCTGTTTGTCTGCGTCCTACAGCCGCGCCCCTTTGTGTTACCTGAGCCCGACTGCTCCAAGAAGTGTTGACTTGATCCTGTTCTGACTTGTTGGAAGGAGAAATAACAACCCACGAGTTGTTGGAGTTAAATCAGAGAGTAAAAGTGTTTTTTCTGTTCCTGCACCGCGACGACAAAGTGAAAGTAAGGTACACTGAAGGTACGACGGCGGCTGCGGAGCATACCTGTGATTATTCTGCTGCTCTGCAATGGGTTGCTTTTATTTCCTGGCCTCGTTCTTATTTACCTCCTGCCTCGGTGAGTTTTTCTTCTTTAACATTCTGCTGTTTTTATCTTGAGACTTAATGAACCTACAGAGCTGCAGACCTCACCACGAGCAGGACCAGACATGTTCAGTAATCATTAATACAAAGAGGGTTCAATAGTTCACTGCAGCTAAAAACTGTTTCCTTATCAGACATGTACATAAGTTTTGACCTGTGCAGTATTTTTGCTTTTAAAAATGCATAATTCACATGTTTATTATGAAGTAATAGACTTTATAGAAACACAGCATTACTTTGATACGGTTGTTAATAACAGACTAAGAAATACACCTGATGATATTAGTCTATTTCATGTTTACTTTTATTTGTTTTAATTTTGTATTCAAATGTTTAACATCGACTTTACACTTGTTACACATGAACAAACTAAACACACATCTTCACCACTCTTTACTCAGCATGTATCATCATGAAGTGTTAATCCTGGGACAATGGCAGAGACGTGTTCTCTGGTCATTGTTCAGGCAGAAGTTTGACATATTTTTACTGAGCGGAATCATACTGAAAGTTTTGACAGATAGATCTTGATGCATGGTTTTGTTCTCCGACTTAGAAAATATTCAATTCATGTAACACAAATAAAAGCCGGACTATCTCACAATTAAGACACTGGAACAAGGATTCTGGAAACATAAGTTGAAGGAGAATTTGTTGTTAGTCAGGGAGGTGTTCAGGTACAACTGCTTGTGTTTTAAGTGAATAAAATGTTAAACAGCTGATCTGTCTCCATGGTGATCCAATAACTGATGAATTCTGTCAAATGCTGCTGTGTCGCCATAGGAAGTTGTTTAAATGACCTAGACTAAAAGTGACTTAGTCCTGCATTGAGATTAAAAATCTTATTTACAAGAGTAAAGCAGTACAATAAACACATTACAGACATAAACACACAGAGTAATCACAAACACAGATCAACATCCTGAGTCACAGAGAAGAAAAGTTAATTATTCAAAGCATCTACAACCTGAAGCATCTTCCTCCAACACCTTCAGACTACTTTAAAAAAAAATTAAAGAGGGGCGCTGGTGGTGCAGTGGTTAGTGCGCGCGCCCCATGTATAGAGGCTATTGTCTTCCAAGCGGGCGGCCCAGGTTTAAATCCCGCATGTCATTCCCCACTCTCTCTCTCTCCCTGATTTCCAACTCGATCCACTGTCCTGTTTCTCCATTAAAGGCACAAAAAGCCCAAAAATAAATCTTACAAAAAAAAAAAAAAAAGATTTAAAGAGACAGACACAGATCATCCTGCAGGAGATTCCAGACCGCATGAGCAGCTTACCTTAAAGTCCTTTTCTCCATTTTTTTTATTTGGATTAAAAAATGAAAGTTCTAGCCTTAAATCCAAAAGTACGACGGTCATGGATTAGGGCCATGTTAAAAAATTATTATTTATTTTAATTTCGAGATTAAACTCGTAAACTCGTAAATTTATCTGTTATTAATATATTGTACTCGTAATAAATGTGGATGGAGAAAAAACAGCAAGTTACTAAAAACACTTTTGTACGATGGAGGATTACGGCCATGTTACATTTTTTTATTTTTTTATTTCAAGATTAAAGTCGTAAATTTACGAGAATAAAGTTGTTAATTTACGACTTTATTCTCGTAAATTTACAACTTTATTCTTTTATTCGTTAAATACTTTAAGAGTTCTATTTTCATAATTTTCGCACAGGCTGGTCTTGAACTCGTTAATTTAAGAGATTAAAGTTGTAAATTTACGAGAATACAGTCATAAATTTGTGACTTCATTCTCGTAAATTTACGACTTTATTCTCGGAGTTTAATCTCGAAATTATTATTATTTTTTTTTTAACAAGGCCGTAATCCTCCATTGTACAAAAGTGTTTTTAGTAACTTGCTGTTTTTTCTCCATCCACATTTATTATGAGTACAATATATTAATAACAGATAATAATGCTCGAGTACAAAAACAGGATTAACGGTCTCTAAATTCTATAAACACGTTTCATTAGAGTTGTTTTAAATATGCAGAACCCTTACAAAGACACATGCTTCATATTCTCATACCTCTCTATGATCAGTTCTAGGTGCTGAACCGCCTACAAAATATGTCCTCAAGGGGACGGGGGAGAGCTTGAAGCCGGCCTTTTCTGGACAACCAAATTCAATTCTGTGGAAACATAACGGAAACAAAGTGGTGGAGTTTGACAGCAGAGAGGAACAGGTGTACGGAGCGTACAAAAACAGGATCACTCTCGACTGGATCTCGGCAGAGCTCGAAATCACCGGCCTGAAGTTTGAAGACAGAGGACTCTATGAAGTGGAAGTCGACATCAACAACATGTTACATCTGTCAGAATTCAAACTGGAGGTCATAGGTAAGTTTAACATTGAACACACAGATTATAATCAATCCATCCTACAGCTGGAAGAGGGTTAAAAGTAAAACCTCAGAGTAAAATGTGAATAGAAACAGAAAGGGATGATTTGAAATATTGAAACCCCGTATGGAATTGAAAATAGCACAAAGACAACCTGCTAAATGTTGAAACTGTGAAATGACATTGTTTAATTTTCACAAAAAATGTTCAACTTTTTGGAAACCAAAGTTTTTTTCATCAACATTTTCAAAAAATTTTGAGGCCGAAATTTTTCACAAAAATGTTCAACTTTTTTTGATTTTGAATTGAATTTGATTCCAAAATGTTTAAAAAGAAAGTTGGTGCAGTAGCACAGAAGCTGATGGAACATGTCAAAGTTTAGAAGGTGAACTGGCTACAGGTTAGTAACATGATGGTTTAAAAAAAAGATGTGAAGGGCGTCTGTGAAAGTCTGTGCTGAGGTGAAACAATTAGAATCTTGTTGTTGTTTTTTTTACTTACAATTGAAATGAATGTGGGGCGTTCATTGTCTGCAAACTTTACATCTTATAAAAAGATTCAGAGAATCTAAAGAAATATCTGTAAGTGGAGGACAAGGCCAACAAAACAAACTGTGTGTCCCTGAGACAGCCCTGCTTTAAAAACAGATTCTGTAGTGGACACGGCATTGGCTCAGAAACAGAGTTCTAGCTAGCTGGAACAAAACTCCTTAATGTACGTCGCTTTGGACAGAAGCATCTTGTGAATGAATTGTAGAATCAGGCACACAACAGAGAAATCTAAAGAAACTGCTGAAGCTGTGAAGAAAAGCTGAAACATCAGAAGATGAGTTATTTTTCCAGAAATCAGTTTTAAACTTTGTGGCTTTAAGCCCTCAGAAGCTGAACTGAATGGATGTGCAAGGCTGATACAGATTCAGTGAGTCACACTGTTGGGCTGTAAAATCTGCTTTATGTAGAATATTACCAATGATCAACTTCAGAACTGTTATAAAACCTTTCACCACAGGTTTTATGGCTGTTGTGGGGACATCTTTATAGACTTTGTACTTTTGGCAACGTTCATATTTCAAGTCGCTCATTTCATCACATTTGTATTTTTGAGGATTTTAAGTGTCTGAATTGCATTTTTCTTTGGTGATGTAAATCATACAAGTGTTTAGGACTTGTTGTAATCAGAAACAAACTTATATCATCATCATTATTCTATCACATTCTACACTTCAGGCGGTCAGAACAATCCTTTTCTCACTTTAAGTTACCGTGGGCAAGTAACTGTAACAGGACTCTAAAAGGAACTGAAGGGCACTGTAGAGGGGAGATCAAATATTATCTTTTATATGTGTGTGCTATCAAATGGGTTTTATAGTCCTGGATCTACTTTTTTACGATGGCCTTGGTATCAGCCGAGAGGTGTGCCCTTGATAAAAAACTAATTGTTCAAGCATCTGAAGACGGTTTATATTCAGTGCCAAAGAAGAAGTTACTTTCACTCTCTTAAGTCACAGAACATAGTGAACACAGTGTGTGTGTGTGTGTGTGTGTGTGTGTGTGTGTGTGTGTGTGTGTGTGTGTGTGTGTGTGTGTGTGTGTGTCTAAACAACGAGCCACAGTTAGATTTCTTTAACATGACAGCATTCTTCCCTCTAAAGAAGTCGATGTTAATCATACTGTAACAATACTTTATTCATCAGACACACTGATGTTTGACCTCAAACCCGTTCTGATAAGCAGTGTATGCCCTTTATACCCGACATTATGTTATCATGTTATTCACTTGTTTGCACAGATTTTATGTTTCTTTGTATACAAACTAGGACCCGACACGTATGGGATTTTTGGGGCCGACATATCGAAATAATTTGCTCAAGGGCGACATCTGCTGGATCAAAAAATCACATATAAAGCCTTTAAACACTAATTTTTACTTAGAAATGAACAATTATTATTAAAAACTATGTAAAACATAAATAAACCTCGTTAAATTGGCTCATATCAGAGATAAAATTAGTCGATACCAATAGTGATGTGATGAGCTCATATCATATCAGCATCCGATACATACGTAACATACTACAATGATTTCAGTATGTATTCATTTATTTCTTTATTTTTTTTACATGTTTCTTCAAGACAAGGTTGCCATGCCGACCATATCTTGTGAGATAAACAAAGACGGTGGCTCCGATGTTTCTGAGGTCCGGGCGACGCTGCTGTGCTCTGCAGACCCCAACCCACCTGAGTCCATGATGAAGTTTGAGTGGAGAGCACGGGGAAAATCACAACCGGGACACAAGTTTAATATTTCTCTGGGAGACGAACGAGATAACGAAGAATACAGATGTTCAGTCAGCAACCCTGTGAGCAGTGAGACGGCGACATTCACAGCAAAGGATTGTTATCACGGTATGATCTCATGTATAACTGGACGTTCAGGTTTCTGATTTGGTCATTTTGAAGTGAACGTTCTTTTAGAAAACTTGAAGCTTTGTTGCCAAGTTACACTATTTCTCACCAGGGTTTGACAGGAAGTTGAATGAAAATATATATATTTATATATTTTATTGAATCTTTATTTAACCAGGTTGGTCCCATTGAGATTAAAAACCTCTTTTTCACTGAGACCGAGCCGAGACAGGCAGCAGCAAAAACACAAAGTTACAGACGGAAACACAAAGAGAGACAAATTACAGTTTACAAAACACAACATTTTGGATTAAAATAGAACCATCTATGAGTCATATCTGGGAATCAGTCGTTCAAACAGCTAAAACATCGAGATCCTATAGAATCTGCTTCCATGTCTTTCATTTTAGATTTAAAAACATTTAAGGACTCCAGCTCCTTGAGCTTTAAGTCATTCTGTAACAGATTCCAGGCTGAGGGTGCAGAGGACCCAGAAGCCCTTAAGATCCCTTTGACTCAAGGATTCAAAGTTGTTAATAAATAAATCAATGTTTTGGTTGTTGTAAAAGAGAGACTCTATATTCTCCTGTTGTTACAGTTCTACAGTAAGTTGTTTTGGTGATGAGTGATCTACGTCCCTCTAACTTTTGACTCTTGTGTTTCTGAAGATAATTCATCTGTAGCTGTGGCTGTCAGTCTGACTGTCGTTGGTTTAATCGTACTCGTGTTGATCATCTTCTTCTGCAAAAAGAGACAAAAAGGTAAAGTAGAAAGAAATTACACTTTCATTAGAAAAAATGATACTGAAAACATTTCTCAGGATGTAGATTCTAAAGAGAACGACCTGATAAGTAACATGTATGTTTATGAGGTCCAGGTATTCAGAAAGCGATGTGGAACAGTTCAGCGCTCAATACGTTTTCAAAGAAGAAAGGTAGTTTGTGAAGAAAGACAATAATGTTCCCCATTGTCTGAGTAGGTTCTCAGTCATCCAGGTCATGGTACATTTGAAGCTACATTCAAAATCAACTGGACTGGTTGAACATCTTTTATTTGTATTTATTTATTTATTTATTTATTTATTTATTTATTTATTTATATAGATCCTTTCAGACAAATTAAATTGCAGTTCAAAGAGCTTTACAAGAGTGCAGAAAAGTTATTGACAAAAAAGTAGTTTATAAAATCACTGAGAGACTAATGCACACCAATAAGAATTAAAAAAATATAAAAATTAAAAAACTAAATACGACACATAAAAGCAACAAGATATTAAAATTAATACATAGGAGAATAATATTTAAAATTGTAGTAGGATAAAAAAAGACAATACAGTAATGTTAAGATTTGAATTGATATAAAGCACTATATAAAAGTCGGACTGAATAAATGAGTTTTCAGACTGCGTTTAAAAATCTCAATATTCTCCTCTCAGACCCTCAGGAAGGTCGTTCCACAGTCTCAGAGCGTAACAGCTGAAAGCTTTTTGTCCTGCTCTGTGGAACAACTAAGAGAGAGGAAGTGGAGGATCTGAGGGGTCGTACTGGTTCATAAACTAAAATCATATCTGATAGGTAGTCTGGTACAAGGCCATGTAATGCTTTATAAAGTAATAAAAGAAAATCTTGAACGTCTTCAGAACGTCTTCCAGATCTTCCACCAGTCCAGCTGATTTTGGATCAAGCTTCAAATTCACCATGACCTATTGTGTCCTGTTATTTCAGTTAATTTCATTGGAATTATTTTTATTTGAACATTTTTTCAGATTTAATAATTTCAGTGATTTTTTAAATGTTCTATTTTAATGTTTCCTTTCTTTCCTCTGTCATGATGCTTTTGATGTCTGAAGCACTTTGAATCGTCTTGTTGTTGAAATGTGTGACATAAATAAACTTGCCTTGCCTTATTGAACACAATCATCTTTTATTAATAATTAAAATCTTCATATTGTATTAAAACTAACAACATACTTATCTTCTCTCTCTCTCTCCTCTCTTCTTTGCTTCCAGCATGTTTTGCTAAAGGACAACAGGATGATGAGGAGAAACAGACTGAAGGTATGATACTTTATGTTTTCAGGCTGAGACTTCCCTTCTTTTTTTTAACAGATCTAAAACTCATAAATATTTGATTTAGAATATAAAACTGTGAAATAGTCTGTATCTGCAGGTCACCTGACAACAGAGAGGATACTCTGGTATGCAGAGCTTGGTTCAAGTGATAGTTTCTGTTGAGCGATTGGATGATTTCAGAGTTTTCATCGATCGTCACTTTTATCTTCTCTGCCCATAAAACTACAATTTATTGTTTGTGATCTGTTTCAGGCTCAGATAAGAAGAAGGCTCAGGGAGGTGAAACCAGTCCTCTTCTTGGTCAGCGACTCAATAATACTATGAGCCCCAATCACCCTGATAGCATGGTCAAAGAAGACACTGAATTACTCTTGGAAAAAGGTAAAAGCTGCTCAATATTAATTACTCCTGTTTGTTAAAGGTTTATTTTGGGGCTTAATGACTTTATTTTGAGAAAGGTCAGTGGATAGAGTCAGAAATCGGGGAGAGAGAGAGAGCGGGGAATGATCCACAGGTCCATCCTGAACCCGGGCCCTCCGCCTGAAGGACCACAGCCTCCCCACATGGGGCGCACACACCAACCACCGGCGCCTCGTTAATTACTGCTTTTAAAAACTACTACAGCTTTTAATGATTTACTCAGCTAAATAATATCTTTCTCTTATAACTTGGCTAACAGCGTGAGTCCTGAAAGAAGAACATTTCATATCATTTTATCATTTTCAATATAAAACAATATGTTTTGCTCTTGTATTTTTATTTTAGGGCCTGTTTCCTTTAAAGTACAAAGTTGTTCATTTTAAAAGAATGGGTATCACTGGAACGCCGATAGCCTGGTGGTTGAGGCTGTGGGTTCAGGTCCGACCTCTACTCTCGCCTCCCACAGTTTCCTGTCTCTATTCGCATGTCCTGTCAGATAAATGCAAAAAGGCTCAAGAATTAGTATCACTAATTATAATTCAATTAATAATTCAATTACTTATCATGATTAATACACTGTTAAAAAAGGAACAGCAAATTAAGTTAGCTTGTTTTTGCTTTTAAGTGAATGTCAAGAAGATGATACGTGAAATAAACAGACGGGCTGGTCAAGGTAAATTCAACGGGGGAGAAAATAATAAGCTGCGAGCTGTAACTAATGCTTATTTTATTATAACAACCATGAGGGCAACAAGTCCTCTCTTTTAAGTCGTTGTAAACCATCAAACATTTGTCATATTTGCTGATAAGCTAATTAATTAATGATTGTAGTGCTTCAGTGTGTTTGTTTGAACAGTTTCAAAGCTTAAATCTCTCTCTCTCTCTTTAAAGCTCTTAGAAGAAATATTTCTGATCATTGAAGAACTTTACATGTCTTGATTGTTTTCATCTTTCCTTCTTCTGCTGTTATTTTTATGAAACAACCCTAACCTTATCCAAATGACTGAACAATCACAGCACATTGATTTAACAATTCAAGAAATAAAACACCCACAACTTTTGAGAAATGTAAAACCATTCTTTCTTACTTTGCCCTCTAGAGCTTACATCCATGTCTGTTACCTGTGTGTATATTTTATTTAGCTCATAGTTTGATTGTGATTTTATTTCTAAACAGTACAGAAAGGAGTAACATGATTAATCTGATTTCAGTTCACTGCATGTCATGAATTATTTTGATCTAAAGAATATTTTTCCTTCCAGAACCTGTTGGAGATCCAGAGCAACCAGAAGGTAACACCACAACACACATTCTTAATGTTAGCTGAGACACGATATAAGAGAGGCTAGGAATAAAGCTGGTTGTTAAGTTGTGACTCTTTTCTCTTATCAGGTAACTTCAATGAGAAGATAGAATTCTTTGAAAAAAAGGCTAAAGAACCTCAACAGACTAAAAACATAACAGGTAATTTTGAATGGGAAGTAGATTTTTGCAAACAGCTGCAGCTGATGTTTTATTTTCATTTCCACAATCAAAAAGCAGAGAGTCCTAACATTTAACAAGGTACAAACAGAATAGTTGTTGTTGTTTACTTATAAATGACTTAAAACATGAATTAAATTCATGTTGATTCATTTTCCACCAATCAGAAAATTCCTGTATCAATCTATTGTTTCTGTACTACTCATTGTTTCTTAATAGATTGTTCCTAACTGGGTTTATTGACTCCAGTGTCTGAGACTGTCTCTGTTCTGTTTA